CGCATACAATAACTCCATTCATTCGGTCACCAAATTTTAACCTATAGACATCATAAGTGGACACATATCCACTGATGACCCATTAAACATCGAGATTGATCGGAAATCATTGAATGATTATACTAATGATCATAAGGAACGTTCAAAAATCCTTTACGCCAAAATTAATGCAGATATCATCAATAAAAAAGAAAAAATAGCTGAACGCGAAAACAAAAAACGTGATAATCCCCTAGTATTCAAAACAAAACAGAAAGTGTACATGAGATCACACCTAAGAAGAAAAGAAGCTAACAAATTCATGAGTCCCGTGCAGATAAAAAAAGTTAACAGAAAAATGAAAACAGTCTCAACAGAAAATCAACCAAAAAATTCATATGAATAACTTGAAACGACCCTTGAAAAAATATTCCACCCCGACTACGAAATAATTCATTTTCCAGGATCTCTGGAATTCTCGGACTCCAAGAAAAAGTAACCATTCAAAACTTAGAGAACAACGCAGGCCTCATACCTCTCAAGTTGGGAACAGCTAAACTAGAAACTTATGCGCACTCTCTCATCCACTATTACGATTTGAATCCAGTCGTGATGAAAATAAACAGATTAAAATTACATTCACAAACTTTGAAAACACTCGTGAAGAGCAATCTAAATTATTCATCAGATCTATCGAATTATTTGAAAATTTTACAATTCTCCGAAGAAATCGTATGTGAAAGACTATTCGAAATATTTCCTCACCCTCATAGAACCAAACGTGGCTTGATAAATGGAATGGGATCGATTTTCAAATCCATAACAGGAAACTTAGACTCCAATGACGGAGAAAGGTATGATCAGCTGATCGCGGAATTGCAGCATAACCAAGAAAATCTAGCCACAAAAATCAAAAGGCAAAACTCACTCTCAGTAGCACTGATTGAAAAATTCAACAGCACAATTCAGCAAGTAGAACACAATGAGAAACTCCTAGAATCAAAAATCATTCAGATTGCTTCAATAGTGAAAGGTCAAGTATATCGGGAAAATTCAATGTTCATTAAGGACACTTTGAACCAAATAATCAGCATGTATGAAATAATAAATTCCATTTTGCAAGATGTCGAAAACTCGATACAGTTTTCCAAATTCAATGTCATCCATCCCAGTATAATCAAAACGAAAGAATTATTTCATGAATTACAAAGTCTACAGAAACTAGTAGGAAAAGATCAACTGCCAATCGAAATAAATTTCGAAAACACTTCAATATATGAGAAAATCATGAAGGTAGAAAGCTATATATCCAATTTTAGAATAACTTACATACTTCATATCCCTATAACAAATCCTTCAAAATTTGAATACTACCATTTATTTTCGGTTCCAATTTTCTCTGGTGGTCAGTTTGAGATAGTTGTCCCAGAAAATAAATATCTATTGAGAAACGAGAAATATTACGCATTCTTGAGCAATCCTTGCATCGAAATCAAACGCCAAATCCATATCTGCCCACCAACCGACATTGGGGAATCAACAGAAACGAGCCCTTGCGAGATTCAACTTCTTGACATGAAGAATACGTTAACATGTGGAAGAATATCCATTCAATTGTCATCACCAGTAATCAGACAATTAGGGGACACAAATAAATGGATTGTTCTCCTACCGTCCAGAGAGCCACTCAAAATGAAATGCACGAATCAAGAAGAAATCGCCAATTTATCACCAGGAAGCTACCTCATCGAGATTCCAATCGGGTGCCGATTGATTTGTGCACATCAAACGATCATCAACGAAAATCAGATCAGCCACCACCAACCGATACTCCTACCAGACTTGACAGAAGCAGAAACCGTGTCATCTGAACCAAACATGAACCTTCAACTTGGAAATATTAAATTAGATGAACTTCAGTCAATCAAAACAGCCATCATAGAGAATCAGCCAGAAATCTCTTTTGGGAATGCAGGCCATATCCCAAGTCTTTGGACCGTACTGATCTACGTCATCCTCATATCCGCATTAGTTCATGTCCTGTACAAGAAGATAGTTACCAAAATCTGTAAACCGAAAACGTCCACGGACCAACCAAAGGAAATCGAGCTGTCCAGGGTTCAGCTTCCTCGTTAACCCTCGTACGCTGAATCTTCGGGGGGAGGAATTATATCGCCTGTTCCCATGGGAAACGCTGACATCGCTGACGATTCCGAGATGCCTTCCAGTTCCAGTTCCAAGAAGATGATGCGCCAGCATTTTCGAATGTCATGAGAAATTCCCACTTTTTGCTCATTATAATTCTAGCTCTTGTACTGTTCAGTTCACATAAGAAAAAAAAATTGTTTTTTAAAAAGGGACTTTGAGTTTCGGAAGTTGTTATTCAGGTCATCATCCATAGTTGTTCTATGACTTTTGAGTCATAGCTAGTTTTTACAATTTTCGAATTATTTCGTACATATGCACATAAACCACCTCCTCTCGTATCTCTATCTGATCTATATAATTCAAAACCATCCATTCCAAGAACTTCATTTCCAGTGTCAGGAGTTAGCCAAGTTTCACAAATAAAAAAAATATCAAAATCATTTTCCATAATAATTTCCAATAGATTTGGCAACATTGATCTTGCATTCAAACAGCCTACTATGAGATGATTCATAGTGAAGAGAAAGAAATTAATTTTGCTCCGACCTCAGTAAAATCTTATCAGTGAAAAACAAAATAACACAAAAAGAAATGAAGAAAAAAGATTTTTCTAATGTAAAGTAATAAAAAGGGTATGCTTTGTAGCTGTGCTGAACACAGGCGGAATATGAATTCATATCCTACGAAAACTTATAATAGGTGGATATTACTATTTCTGAAAACATTCAGTGATAGGTACTTGTTATGATTGAGCATGATGTCTACCATAGATATACAATTGATTTAATGAATATATTATAGAAAAAGACGAATAACCGTTACTTGAACAGTGAATCAAGATTGAACATCATATTTAATAATTTGCTGATATCAGGAATTTTCTTGATAGGATGTTCGTTTTCATACTCAATATAGATGTTTCCATGGTGACTCCAGACAGTACCGCTTTTTCCGACTTCCACTAAGGCGGCCATCATAATTTTTTGCTGTTCCATGGTGAGATCTTTCCTTATAACTATGCGAGTATTCCTAAGCCACTTTTCATTGCCATCAACCATATTTTTGGAGTAAACGGAAGTGAATTTTTTGATTATCGGTCGATATTAAGCGGCATTTGCTCTTCCAATTCTGTAGCAGTTCTCAAAAGAGGACTTATCTATATGTAGTTCCATTTTATCGGAAAGTATATCAAAAATCAAGTTCTCACAGTTTCACTGGTTCGATTCTCGGATGTCATATATCAGAACAGTCTCCTTCCTCATATGTTGTTGAAAAAGTTCCTGACTTTTAGATAATATTCTTATTTGTTCCTCTTGTGATGCCAATCATTCATTCATGCTCTGATTCCCCTTTTTCAACTGATTGATTCCTTCTTCGAAATATCTACTTATTGTTTCAGTCATAGAAGTTGTGAATTCTTTCAGAAAATCTTCGAAAGTACGAAGTTTGGTAACCAATGTTTTCACAATGGATTGTAACTCTTCGTCTACTTTCTAAGTGTTGCGAGTCATGTTGAAATCGAAATTTTCGAGTAGCACTGATGGTTTTCCAAATATATTATTGATTTCGGTTTGGTATACACTGACAGATCAATTAACACATATGATTTGTACGTAGTTCACTGATTTTTATACTTCATACAGCACAGCTCAAAGACACGTCTACTCCATCGGACGATCAAGACCCGTATGAAATGAAATGGGGCTACATCAACTTCATCGATGTTCACATTGAATCCCTCTATTCTATGATCTCACATGGATACATTCGGAGTAGAATAAATTGCTTAGACCATATGAGATGACATAGAAGCGGGTATAACGCACACAACAGACAGAAAATAAAACTTCGACTATGTTTACACTGGAACTCTGCATTCTAGCTTCTGACATGCAAACAGTTGGTGCAGATTAGATCGCACCGACCATATAGAATGACTTTGAAAGGTATTTAACAAGTACAGAAGGCAGATGAGGATACATCGACATCATCGATGTGTACACTGTATCTCTTCATTCCATCATCTCACATGGATACTATCGAAGCAGAATAGATCTCAAAGACCATATCGCCTGATGAATTCTCAAGGGGCACAAGTGTGTCTGAAAAAGGTAGAGAACGCCAAAACAGAAAGAAGTGGTACGAGCCTCCCTAAATACTATAGTACTGTTCTGGTGTGTGCCAGTAATTATGAGATGAAGAGATTCAAACATATCATTAGACGATTGTATTGTTTTCACAGTCATATAAATGAACAGGAAGAGATGTTTCGTCCGACACTTGAGTCTCTAGTATTGTTCAATAACGTCCAACGAGAAACGGGATCGGGAGACCTAGCTTGTGGGTTATACCGTTTGTATTGTGCATTGCGCACTGAACAAATCTAAGATGAATCGTAAAAATTGCATGTTGATTCCTTTTGATTGTACCTTACATATCATTTGATAACGTGATGAATAGATTCAAGTTGCCTTTGTTCCTCTTGCATTCTTCCAATTGTCAAACCAGAAGCTGATATAAACAGATATTAGATACGCATTGGCCTCTTTGATTTTGCGTTTCCTAGAATGTATGCATAGCGTCGAGAAACCTGACGGGTTCCTATGTCGTTTTGATTTCACAAATCAGTAGTATTCGTGGCGTCCTTAGGGTATCAAGTGTCAATACTTGCTGTGTATTTCGATTTTGTTACGATCTTCTCATCTGAATATCAGTCTGTTTTTTGTTTGGTGTGTAAAAGTATTGAAATTTTTCAACGTTATTCTGCATTGAAACTTATTATACTGTTCATAATGGATAAAAAAATTGCAACTAACCGGGGAAAAATAATTCTTCAACTCGCTGACCAAATAAATGCATTAAGCAAAGCAAACATGGATTTTGAAAACAGTAAGAAGCCTGAAAATACAGACGGAGATTTTCTCATCCCAGTGCAAGTTTCTTCAATCCCTACTAACGAATCTGGTGAGTTATTTCAAATTCGAACTATTTATATAAATATAAACTCGAATTATTCCTTCCATTCAAAAATAATTCATTTCAGAAGAGTTTTCGGTCCAATCATTTGAATTTGGAAAAGCATTGACGACTACACTAGATCACGTAGAAAATTGTTCCGAAGGTACTTACATTCATCGCTTATTTTTATTTGCTTTTTGAATGAATTGCATGTAACAGGAATCTGTGATTTTTGTCTTGTCATTCCTTGACAATTTATTTCATACATGAAATCAATTCAGTCAACTTCTTATAATTCCCACTATTTTATGAAATTTCAGATCTTGAAGAAAATGGACCGAATGAATTGAGCAGATCTTTGCGATCTGATCATGATACAACTCCATTAGATGTTGAACTTCTCGAAAATATTAGCTCAGCAGATGAAGCTTCTGAAGAGGAAACTTCCACTGCAGTTAATTCTTTTAATGGTAAATTTTTGAAACATAATATATTTGCAATCAAACCAAATTCGGTTCAAATGATCTAATATGTTTTTAAAACTGTAATTTCTGGAATATTCTCGAAAAATATCTTTTTCGATGCGCTGTCAAAATCATGTATTGTCAAATCTGAATATGTACCGTTTTTTTTTGTTTAAAATGTTCTCTTATTCAAAATTCATTCAACGAGATCGACAGAAGAGTTTGGTAATCAACTCTTATATCAAAATAGCGATCAATGATCTCGAACGTTAACGTACTCGCTGCGCTCGAACGTTGAATTATCTTGATGATTTATCGCCTTCATTGAAGTACTAGTTAATTGACTAACTATTATACTTACGGTAGTCTTCCAATTGGAATTTTTGAAAAAAGTAATTAAATGTTGTTTTTTATGATCAAAATAAACTTTTCACTTTCAGAGAAGCTACCGGAGCCTCTGAATCTTCCTATTCGTAAGCGTAAGGGCAAAGGTGTTGAAAACTGAATTGAAAACAAAAGAAAGAGAGAGAGGAACGAAGGAAGAGAATATGAATATGTTAGTCTTGTGAAAACTGATGGAGGAACGGTAAATAGAGTCACTAAACTTCGCCAAGCCCGTTTCATTCGACCAATAAGTTGTAAATGCATTTATAAGTGCAAAGAAACTTTGCGTCATGAAAATCGAGTTGCAGTATTCGATAAATACTGGAAACTGGGCAATTTGCAAGCACAGAGAAACTTCTTGGCTGGACTGATCACTAAAGTCGATAAGAAGCGTATGGTTGTAAATGCTAAGGTGAATCGCAAATTCAACATCCATTACTTCCTTCCTAAGATCGATAGTTCACGTGTTCAAGTTTGCAAATCAACATTTCTCGCTACACTTGATGAATCCGGTCGCAAGATAAGAACAGTCATACGCAAGCAACATTCGGGATTGTGTTCACCAGATAAGAGAGCCAGCAATGCTTATCGTATCCCAGCTGATATTTTGCAAAAAATTCATACTCATATCCAATCCTTTCCTTGCGTACCAAGTCACTATACTCGTGCCAACAGCAAACGCCAATACCTCGAGCCTCATCTGTCAGTTAAGAAAATGTACGTCGATTGTACTGAATCTCTTCCTGAAGATGTCAAACCCTGCAGCCTTCAGACATATCGCAACATTTTCAACACCGAATACAACCTTGGCTTTCATCATCCAAAAAATGATCGATGTGACTTCTGCGCCAAATATGACGAGTATCCTGTAGGAACAGAAAAAGATTATATGACTCCTGAATATGACGCCCACATTATCGCAAAAAATCAAGCGAGACTGAGAATGCTTGAAGATAGTAATAAGTCTAAAAATGATAGGATGTTCAAGTGTTTCACATTTGACCTACAGCAAGTTCTTCTGGCACCATATTCCAATGTCAAAAGCTTCTACTACAAAAGAAAGCTGTGTGTCTACAATTTGACGATTTACGATCATGGCGCAGGTAGAGGCTACTGCTACGTTTGGGACGAAACAATTGCACAACGTGGTAGCTGCGATATTGCTTCATTTATCGTTCAACATATCAATACTCAATGTTCTGAAGCTGAGCACATTTCTCTCTACAGTGATGGTTGCTGCGGCCAAGATAAGAATCGTTTCGTATTCACTGCTTTGCTACATACACTGAGGGAAAGGTTTTGTTATGATAAATGCATTGATTTGTTTGAGTATGCTTCGTTGAATATTAACGCCATCTTCTTGTCATCAATATACCTTTTTAAATACTACCATTTTTTTTGTAAAATATTCGTTGACCGAAAACAAAGGATTCGTTTGAAGCTGATTCTTTCAATATTAACATATGTTTTTAGGAGTTACTTCCATGAGTTTGTCACAAACCTGTTCGTTATATCCAAACTGTTCGGAATCTTACTCTCGAATTACCATTTATTAACTGGTAACAAATTCTCTCCACAGTTTAATTACTTAGATAATAAGAAATTGTTCTTGAGAGAAACAAATCATTCGTTATACAATTATTGACCTTCCCATGACGTAGTGATATTCTCTTCAGCGCATGCTCGAGGTTGGAATGCAGTTGGTAGTCGGAGTCAACATGTTAGACTGCAAAGGACGCTTGGAGTGGCCTAATAATCAAATATCAATTGCTAACACAGAAAATTGTGGTGTGCACTGTTGAATGTGAATTTGAGTTTCATCAGGTTTGTGCTGGAGCATAGGTATTACACGAAGTGGCTGGTGAGTTTTTATCATATTGTTTTCAATTTCTAAGACACAATAGCGAGTCTGCATGGTGAATAAATCATACTAGCATTCACTTCTCCATCAAGTGTTATTATTAATTGAATTCCTATATATTTCCCATCGTCTGACTCTAATTCTTACCAATTTGATAACTATTAGGCATGCTGATACATTTTCTCTGAAGCATGTTCTATAGACTTCCAAGATGGAGAAAACACGAGAGGGTGGGGTCTAGGAAATTTTGTTGGAAGATTGCGCAAGGTGAAATGGTTGATCTTCCTGTACATAGGATGATGATTGTACAGATCAATTGTGAGGAGATGACAAGTGCAAATTCATAAAAGTGAATAGATTTTTAAGAATGGATGCAAATCCACAAAATCCTTGATTGAAGAAACAAGGCCCGAATATGAAATTAATTAGATAGTAACCAATATTTGTTAATAGTTAACATGCCTGTGTTATTGTCAATCAGTATTCGACAACTGTTGAGATATTCATAAACATGCCAAAATTTTTGTATCTCATCCATTTTAATCCGTCCAAAAGTGCTTCGAAATTGATGCATCAGATGAAAAATCATGACTTTTCGACCTAATGAACATCGTTGACCTTGGAAAACCTGATTTTCTTATTTTCTTATACTTTACAATCATTTTGAATGATTAAATGCAATTTCAACATCCTTTCGTGCGCTCCAAGAGATGAAAAAATACCGTACCGATTATTGAATGGGACAAGATATATTATCTCTATCGAGAACTTGTTTATTTTTATGTTACAGATCATTCATATCAATATAGTGGATGCTCGATACCACCTGGATTTCCGGTCTGATTTTAGCTCTTTTCATTCAGATGTTTTGATATCAAAATATATGTGATGTAACTATACTGTGAACTTTTGCTTAAATAAATTTGTTCTCAGAGACTCTTTATTCTTTCTGTCAGGAAAAAACAATTGGAACCATCGATCATCGACTCAAAATATTAACTATCAATAACCCAACAATATTGTTACGTTATTCGGGTGCAGAAGCGAACACGACACTATTTATTTTCGAACTTATTTATTTAAACTAAAGAAACACTAATTTATATCGAACTTATAACTACAATTTATGTGAAACGATTTGAACACGCGGTATATAACTGTCTCTCTGACACTCGCTGTTTGACTGCCTGACTCAGTTGTTCGGCCGTTTTATATATGAGAACACAGGCAGGCTTTGGTTCGAGAACCTTCTCGCAATGATCTTCCGTCTCCTTCTTTTTGTTCTAGAAGCTTCTTAGAACAAACCTCTCTCTCTAATTGTTCCATCGATTGTTTCCAGAACATTCCAGAATCTTCTGTGACGTTCTTTGTCACTGCGGCATATATTGAGTGTTCGGAAATATGTTGGTGTATGTAGGAATCATTGAGAGGTTGGAGAGCAATCTGGGATGCGTGATACAGGATGATCGTTGTTCTCCTGCCTTCCTGCTGATGTTTCTGAAGCGCCTCCAAGGGAAATATCATTACACTGCCCCCTCCTTAAAACGCATTCCTCCTGGAATGCACTCTGATCGTTATGAAGATAGGGACAACTGGTTTCATTTTTACAACGTGCAGTATGGTAGAAATAGCATGGCACTGTCTTCTCTCTTGGAGTTCCTTTGGAGTTCCAGCAGCATACCAGAATTTCAACTCCGGTGAATCTAAATAAAACCTCTAGCATGTTCCTTACAATTCTCCAATTCAAGCCATCCAGTTCACACCCCAGCTTTGGAACAGCAATCTTCTGTATGTCCTTCTCGAGTATGGTGCTTCGCAAGTCGACTAGCGTCTCCCAGAGGTCCTTGTAAGTGGGTTTCTCAGAAGATCTTCCTTTCGTTATAAGATAAAACAGAGACCTTTTCCCTTCAGCGCTGATATCTTCTATTTCTAGTGCTCGACCGACGGAGGGACCTTGTTGATGAAGCTCCTCTAACTTCCCAAACTTCCTCATGAACTTGTTCGCTATTCCTTGAGACATCTGAAGATCCTCGACGACGCAGTGAGCTAGTGCGTATTCTACAGGAATGGCAAAAAGGTCGCGGTGCTCTTCCTTGGTGACGCCAAACCTTGCCTTTGATGAACCACTGTATGTCCCAATGAATTCGTCGAATGTAAGCTCCTTTCCTTCCGGACAAATTTGTTGAACTTGTTGATCTTGTGTTCCCTCGAATGGTGCTAGTCTGTTGAAATGAACGACTCTTGGTTTGCCACTGGGTTCTTTATTGATGCGGTATATGACATCGTTGATCTTCTTCTTGACGGTATAAGGTCCTTCCCAAGATCTCTGTAGTTTTGGACAAATACCTCGTTTCCTTTGTGGATTGTACAACCACACCAGGTCTCCTTCTGCGTATCCTGCACCCCCAGCTCTGATGTCGTACCGGTCTTTCATGCGATCGCTGGCGATTTTCAGATTAGAACGAACCGATTCGTGAATATCGTTCATTTTTTTCATCAGATTCGCGACGTAGTCTTCCCCCACTATGTCCTCACCAGGTCTACATCCGAAGACCAAGTCACATGGAAGCCTCATCTCTCGGCCAAATAGAACCTTCGCCGGAGTCTGTCCTGTAGATTCCTGTACCGCAGATCTGTAGGCCATCAAGAAGAAAGGAAGATGTTGATCCCAGTCTTGTTGGTGTTCATTCGCTCCACCATGCCATCTGACTGTGGATGCAATGGAGTTGTTCTTGTTTTCGTGATTCCTAACTTCTCGGTCATCTTCTTAAACACTTCACTCTCGAAGTTTGTAACGATACAATCGTTACATTTATAATTAATATCCATTATTGATCATTGTCGTCGCTCTATGTATAATTATTAGAACTTCAACTCACAGAACCGCAGGAACAGATCAACCGCACATTGATCAATCAGTGATCTGTATCATCATAAGTTCCGTTCAGGATAAAAAAGTTAGAGGGCGACAGAATCGAATTGAAAACGACAAGACGTTCATGATTTGCATGAGCTCTTCCTTTTCTGAATTTGGCAGCGAAATCAACAGGTTGATTATCCATTTTGGGATAAATCCCAACTATCTTTATGTTGAATTTCTCACCTTTTCTCCGCAAAAATATCAGAGTGGTTTCGTGTTTAATTGAAGATATTAGACAGGTACGTAGTATGATTTCAATTTAATTGCTTTAATTGTTATTGTGCACGCAAATTTTTGACTGCGAAATTTAGCAGCATGGCGGCTTGAGTGAATGTTCACAAATTTTTCAAAGGTTCAATCTCCGATTATCGTTGTAATCATTTGGAATTTTCGATTAATGTTAATTTCCTAGGAGGAAGCATTGCTCGAATATCCAGTGGCGTAGCAGATTGATGTGTTCATCGTTTTTTTTGATTACTACAAATGTTGATCTTTAAGAATTGACTGCGTTTTCGTTTTCACAGCACTTGGTCTTCAAACCCTGTACAAATTCAAGGAATTTACAAATTAATTGTACAGCCAGGAAGTCAGAGTTGATATACTTACACATTCAGTAAGAATTTTACTGGAAACCAGTCTAATCAATTGGTGGCCTGGAAATCATCGATGGAATCAGTTTAGGTGAGTACCGAAAACACATGTTATTTTCTATATGAATGAATTTGAATGTGTGCCTTTCAACTCACCTGATCTGTTTTCAAGATCACCAGGTTTCCAATAAAAGGAAGATAAGGATTTGCTATATTTTCCTGTATAGAAATATCTATCTCAAAATTGTCTATCTGAGATAAATATATATCTTATCTTAACTTATCTCAACTTATCTTTTGTGATCAATCATAGTATTGATCATGTGTCCACATTAAGGACATATTCATTTTCATTATCTTATTGTATCTTTTGCTACTGTGCCATTAAAAATATTCAAGCTTTTTAGTGAATTATATCTTTTATACATATTGGAAGATTTTGTGAAGACTCATTTGACCAGTTAGTGGTCAAAATCACATCTAGGAATCATATTACATACACTGGGTGATATCTTTTACTTGAAGCCACTGTCAGATCTCTTATTTGAGATCATAAGTTGATCTGTTATCTTAGAAATTCATTGAATAATCTTTTATTTGGAAATTCATTGAGTAACTTCTTGTAGCAACCAGATGAATCTTTTCTCTTGAAATATATTTACTTTACTCCAAATATTGGAAATTTAAATATTTGATATCGACCTTATACCTGTTGATTTCAGAATCAATTTCAGATTCTAATTTTCTCTATACTAATTTTTGATTATCCTTTCATGA